TTTTCAACACATGGCTCTCGCCTTAGCGTCGCGCATATTTATTGAATGCCAAGGTCCACGGGTTGAGTGCGGTTCCTTGTCAAAATGTAGCTCTGGCTTAAGCGCCACGTACATCGCTCTAATACCTACAAGAGCTACACATGATGGAGGGCGGGTGATTTTCAAAATGTGGTTTTCGCCTCAACACCGCGCACACTCGTTGCACAAAATTGCAGGAGTTTCACGGATTGAGGGCGGGTGGTGTTCAAAATGTGGCTGTCGCCTCAGCGCCGCGCACACTCGTTGCAAAAATGCAAGAGCGCTTCACGGAGTGAGGGCGAGTGGTTTTCAAAACGTGGCTCTCGCCTCAGCGCCGCGCATTCTTCTGAAAAATTACAAAAGTTTCACGGATTGAGGGCGGTTGGTGTTCAAAATGTGCTCTCGCTGTAGCGCCGCGCGCAGTCTTTCTGAAAAATTGCTAGATGTTCACACGGATTGAGGGCGGGTGGTTTTCAGAATATGGCTCTCACCTGCGCCCAGCGCACACTCGATGCACAACCAAATGTTCACGGATTGATTGCGGCCCCTTTTCAAAATGTGGCTCTTCCCGTAGCGCCACGCAAGTTTGTTCTAAATGTGCGCAAGAGTTCCACTGAAAACGTACCAGCAATGGTGTTTTGGAACGGTTCAGGACCGTCCGGGCACAACAACTACTGATGCGCGGTGTTGAAGTCCCAGGATTGGTGTTCTGGCTCGGTTCATGATCGCCAAAACGTAACACTCAGGGTCACTCGTGGCATTGAAGGCATGAGAATGGGTTCAGGCACGCTTTAAGATGATCACCCGACTGCCCCCAAGCGGGGCAACTCCCAGAGTGGAAATGACCCCTTGTAAGGGCCTACGAAGAGGAATGTTGTAACGAGGGTGGATTCAACATCGCTGATGAGTCTTAGGTTTACACTGGTCCTCCTCTTCCTAGTCTTCGGCTTCGTCTGCTTATTAGTTTTCTTCTTGGTATAAGTAAAATTCGCCTTCGTAGTATTATGCTTGCTGTTAAAATGATATTCTTCTTGATTGCATTATACGTACTACTCGCATTATTGTTGATATGATTGGCCTTAGTACGCTTGCTTTTCTTAATATTATGATTACCAAGATTCACACCGTTAGTGTTGCCATCATCCTTCATATTCTTCATGTTATTAGTATCCGCCGTACTGTCAGTATGTGTGAAATCCCACCAGCCCTTTAGGGCGTAGGTGGTCTAGAGCGTTTCCTCTGCCAACCCCTCTTCTTTCCTTTCGGGGAGGGGTTTACCCCTCCCCTTACCCCTCCCCACTGACCTGGACGGGGCGTTCCGCGACGCGTTGGGACGCCCAAGATGGCCCAAGACTGCTCCAAGAGCGAAAAGGCGAGAAAGCACAAAACATTGATTTTCCTTAGGTTTTGGAAGGATTTTGGCCTCTTGGGGGGGCCCAAGAGGCGATCCGAGGCACTCTAGAGGGGCGAGGCTAATTGAGGCTCCCCCCTTCTTTGATATATATTCCCAACATGGCCCCAAGAGCGCCCCGAAGGCTCCCAAGAGCGCCCCAAGAGCGCCCCAAGAGCGCCCCAAGAGGGCCCCAAGAGGCGCCCAAGATGCCTCCAAGAGGCTCCCAAGAGACTCCCAAGAGGCCCCAAGAGAATCCAATATGGCCCAAGACGGCTCCAAGAGCGAAAAGGCGAGAAAGCAAAAAACAATGATTTTCTGTAGGTTTTGGACGGGTTTTGGCTTCTTGGGGGGGGGCCCAAGAGGCGACTCGAGGCACTCTAGAGGGGCGGGGCTAATTAAAGCTCCACCCTTCTTTGATAGATCTCCTCCAAGATGGCGCCATGAGCACCCCGAAGGCACCCAAGAGCGCCCCAAGAGCGCCCCAAGAGAACCCCAAGAGGCTCCAAGAGACGCCAAGAGGCGCCCAAGAGGCCTCCAAAAGGCTCCCAAGAGACCCCCAAGAGGCCCCAAGAGGCTCCCAAGATGGCCCAAGACGGCTCCAAGAGCGAAAAGGCGAGAAAGCAAAAAACATTGATTTTCCTTAGGTTTTGGACGGAATTTGGCCTCTAGGAAGGCCCAAGAGGCGATTCGAGGCACTCTAGAGGGGCAACGCTAATAAGCAACCCCCCCTTCTTTGATAGATCTCCTCCAAGATGGCCCCAAGAGCGCCCCGAAAGCTCCCAAGAGCGCCCCAAGAGCGCCCCAAGAGGCCCCAAGAGGCCCCCAAGAGGCCTCCAAGAGGCCTCCAAGAGACTCCCAAAAGGCCACAAGAAGCTCCCCGAGATACGCAAGAGGCCTCCGGGACCGCCAAGAGGCCCCAAAGACGGCCCAAGAGGCCCCCAAGCTCGCCATTGTCCTCCTCCTCCTCCTCTTTTTCTCCCTCCTCCCTCCTCCCCCTCCCCCTCCTCCGCCTCCTCCTTCTCCTCCTCCTCCTCCTCCTTCTCGTCCTCCTCGTCCTCGCCCTCCTCCATCTCCTCCTCCTCATCTTCCTCCTCCTCCTCCTCCTCCTCCTCCCCCTCCTCCTCCTGCTCCTCCTCCTGCTCCTCGTCTTCCTCCTCCTACTCCGACGACGACGACTCCTCCTACATCCTCCCCCTCTTGGGGCGTATGGCGGCTCAACCCGCTCTTTGTTCTTCTGCATGCTCCCCCGCTTCCCTCATCACCTCCACTCCCCTGGGGCTCATTTCTGGACGGGCTGGTGGGGATACGCGAAGCGTCTAGAATTCGTCGTATGAGTATTACCGTTCTTATTAGAAGTAGAATGGTTGTTATTAGACAGATGCTTAATATTAATAGTAGTCCTCCGTTTCGCCTTCTTCATAATGATGTTATTAGTAGTATTACTACTACTGGTTATTTGTCTTCTGTGTCATATTATTGCGTGTCTTGTTTTTCTTCCTCCTCCTCGTCCCCGTATCCTCCTCATTATCCTACTCCTCCTCATTCTCCAACTCGTCCTCCTCCTTCTCCTCCTCCTCTCCCTCCCTCCTCCTCCTCATCCTCCTCCTTGGTCCTGCTTTCTCCTCCTCCTCCTCCTCCAACTCCTCCTCCTCCTCCTCCTCCTCCTCCTCCTCCCTCCTCCTCCTCCTCTCCCTCCCCCCTCTCTCCTCCTCCTCCTCCTCCTCCTCCTCCTCCGCCTTCCTCCTCCTCCTCCTGCTCCGCCCCGTCCTCATCCTCAATCATCCATCTCATCATCATCATCATCATCATCATCATCATCATCATCATCATCATCATCATCATCATCATCATCATCATCATCATCATCATCATCATCATCATCATCATCATCATCATCATCATCATCATCATCATCATCATCATCATCATCATCATCATCATCATCATCATCATCATCATTATCAGCAGCAGCAGCAGCAGCATCAGCATCATCATCAGCATCAGCAGCAGCATCATCATCAGCAGCATCATAATCATCAGCATCATGATCATAATCATCATCAACAGCAGCAGCAACATCCTCATCATCATCATCATCAGCATCATCAGCAGCATCCTCATCATCATCAGCATCAGCATGCTCATCATCGTCACAATCAGCATCAGCAGCAGCAGCATCATATTCATCATCATAATCAACAGAAGCAAAATCGTCATCATGAGCAGCATCATCGTCATCATCATCATCCTCATCATCATCATCATCATCATCATCAGCATCAGCATCATCATCATCATCATCATCATCATCATCATCATCATCATCAACGTCGTCGTCAGCATCAGCATCAGCATCAGCATCAGCATCATCAGCATAATCGTCAGCATCAGCATCATCATCATCATCATCATCATCATCATCATCATCATCATCATCGTCATCGTCATCATCATCATCATCATCATCCTCATCATCATCATCACCATTAGCAGCATCATCATCATCAGCATCAGCATCATCATCAGCATCAGCATTATCAGCATCATAATCAGCAGCATCATCATCAGCAGCATCATTATCCTCCTCATCATCAGCATCATCAGCAGCATCATCATCATGATCAGCAGCAGCGTCTTCATCAGCATCATCATCTTCACCATCATCATAATCAGCATCATGATCATCATCATCAACATCATCATATTCATCATCATCATCATCAGCAGCATCATCATACCCATCATCATCATCATCATCATCATCATCATCATCATCAGCATGATCATCAGCATCATCATCATCATCGTCAACGTCATCGTCATCATCATCATCAGCATCAGCATCAGAATCATCATCAGGATCATCAGCAGCAGTAGCATCATCATCATCATCATCGTCATCATCATCATCGTCAGCATCATCATGATCATCGTCATCATCATTATCTCATCATCATCATCATCAGCATCATCATCAGCAGCAACATCATCATAGTCGTCATGATCAGCAGAAGCAGCGCCAGGATCATCATCATCATCAGCATCATCCTCATTATCATCATCGTCATCATCATCATCGTCAGCAGCAGCATCATCATCAATTGAAGCATCATCGTCATCATCACCACCAGCAGCATCATTATCATCATCAACACAAAACCACCAGCATCATCATCAGCATCGTCATCATCGTCGTCATCGGCGTCATCATCACCGTCATCATCAGCAGCAGCAGCCTCATCATCATCAGCATCAGCAACGTCATCAGCAACATCGTAATAATCATCGTCGTCATCATCATCAGCATCATCATCAGCATCAACAGAATCAGCATCAATGGCAGCAGCATCATCATCGTCATCATCCTCATCCGTATCATCACCATCATCAACATCATCATCAGCATCATCAGCAGCAGCATCGTAAGCATCAGCATCATCAGCATCATCCGCATGATCATAGTCATCATCATCATCAGCAGCAGCAACAACAGCAGCCTCATCATCACCATCATCAATGTTTACTACTCAGCATCACCACCACCACCATCATCATCGTCATCAGCAGCAGCATCATGACCAGCACCACC